ACGTGATTTATGTTTTCAGATATAAAAAAACCAACTTTATATTTTTTGAGTATTAAGCAGATAAATCAAAATAAAGATTTGGTAAAAATTTGCTACCTGAATCACTAAGTCCACGCGGATGAACTCGCGGGCAAAAGCTAGTAATTATATATAGTATAATTATTTTTTTTAAAACAGGGATAAAATAAATTCTAGTTTTATGACAAACGATTAACAATAAATTGCACTACATCGCATAAAAATTTGGAGTCTGCCGGAGGCTGACTACCACCCTCAGTACAAATTTGAACAGTCTCTTTTTCAAATAATAATAAATTGTGTTATAACATAAACCAAACTTAATTAGGGAAATAAGTTGGCCACAAAAAATTGTTTTTTAGATCGGGTTTTTTATGAACGAGGCAAAGTTGACTATTTCAATGTGCCCGGGCAGGGTTTTGACCTCTTTGCATCTGACAACATAAAATTAATTTTGATAAATGAATTTAATAATAAAGCCGATGCTCAATTTGATGCCCGATCTACATGAAATAATATCCAGTATACAATACGTCCATGGCAGAACAGACAGTGACAAAACAGCATCCGTAGAGTATCTCTCATTTGGTTTGTTTTTTTTTTATTTTCCATTAGAATTTTATCCTAAAATGTACCTACGTGAAAGACTCTTTTTTTTATTTACGAAAGGTCCGATTTAGGATAGTTATTGATGCCACCTTGGCTTGAATTCCCTGTCAGTTGGGATTCAAGGAAATGATTCGCTGGCAATATCTTAATTAACTGCTATGCGATGATTATTTCTTCTTGTCTTATTACTGAAGACTCTGATCACATAATTATCAGCACTTTTGAACATACTAAGGAAGCGATTGAGAGAAGTCCTACTCCACAACTTCCAAAACCTAACGCTTTCTCGCTTACGATTTACCATTGTATATATTCTCCTTCTCATCTCGAAAAATAATCATAATAATATAAGGGATCCAATGTGGTCGCGACGGTAATGTCGTACTGGTACTGCACACTTACAATTATATTCAAATAATTTAAGAGCCCCCTATTTTTGTAATCTTATTGGAAGTAAAATAAGAAACATTTAAAAATAAGACACGAATCAATCTTTATTTTTGAAGTTACAACGTCTTATAATTCGATGGAGCCGGCTGCACGCACGAATAAACATGACTCATGCGGCGTTACCTCGCTCTGAGCCGTTCCAATTAAGTGCAAGCGAGAGCACGCAACGAGCGACAAAGAGACACAATCGGCCTCCACGTTCGGCAGCGTTCGACATCTGTCTCTTTTCTACTTGAGTGAGCAATGCATCCGCGTGGACAGCTGCTATACAATAATATATAATATGTTTTCGTCAAGTATGAAGTGCAGTAAAAAGTGAATGTTGTGTCAATTGTTTATAGCAACGATACTTGCGGCGATAAAGGTAATGATTCTTTCGATATTAAATTTATGTTCAGTGATATATTGTCGAATATTCGTGCTTTCATCATTAAAATCAAAAACAGCAAACAGCATCGGTCCGCTAGTGCAGCGATTGTAGGTATACAATCGCTGCAGCGTTATGCTTTATTTGACAAAACTATGACAATTACTTTACAGAACTTTTTCGTTACATTTAATTAATATTGAGTGGAACTATATACATTGTAAAAAAACGTTGTCACGTTCAACTATCGTCAGTAAACCGACTTTACAGACAACCGATTTATTTTTTAAATCTGCTACCTATATTTCTCTTAGAGCATATACCAATGCTGTAAGATATAAGCTCTTTGTAAGTCCGCTCATAATCATCATCTTTATTTCTTTAATTAGGTTAGGTTATAACTTCCTTGGTATTAACTTACTCCCCTTGCCAAATAATTAATAATTACAATAAAATAATAAAAGGACTGGAAAAGGATAGTTAACACAGTCAATTAAGTTCAGTTTTAATTTGAAAAATTAAATAAATATTCAAAATATTCAATTAAAATCACTACTGAACTTAAGTTATTAGTCCATATGTAATTAGCACTTGTAAGTAACTAAAACACTTGTGTCTATATAGAAACTAGAAATATGTGGATAAATATTATAAATATGAAAACAGTGATCAGAGGCGACGAGCGTGCCAACATTGTTTTTGACAACGCGATCATCTTATGGAGCTCCGTGGATCGTTCAAAGTACCTTTCGGACAGATGTCTAATAATGGTGGATTATTAACCACTAAGTGGTTAATAATCCACCATTATTAGACACTAACATTCATAACGCGCCCGCGGCCAACTTCATGGTGTTACTATTGTGTTACAGTGATGCGCGCGCATCTCGAAATTTCACATGATTTTTTCATAAAGCTCCCGCGGCCAACTTCATGCTGTTACTTTTGGGTTACAGTGATGCGCGCGCATCTAAAAATTTCACTCTCATCATTTTTTCATAACGCGCCTAAAGAAGTATAACTTCAAAAATCCAGGAATCACGTTTCACGTAAATGAATAATTGAATCACTTTTTTCTAGTTTTTAGAAATCGAAATCAATTTTAATTCTAAGGACAAAATGATTAGTCTAAAGCCCAGTGTTGCCAATGTTCATGTAACCATATTACCTAAAATATGGGAAATTGGGATGACATTAACTTCAATCTATTATTTATTATTCTTTTTTATCAGATTTCCTAAAGAAAATGTAGTGTGGAGAAATTACTTGAAAATGAATGATTTCCAAACAAATATGTAGTAGTGTCATTTTTAGTCTTCATCTTGAAGCTCAAGACTTATATACAACTAAAGGAGGACTCCGGCGTGTTATTACGTATGCATTACCTCAAAAGGTTAATTAAAATTTTTAACCGACTTCGAAAAGAAAGAGGTGCGTCATATTTGTTTTTTTTTATTGTTGTTCGCGCAGATCTCCGAGATTCTTTTTTTGTTTTAATCAGTTTACTAGCGAGATGGCTGCATATTAATTTACTGGAGATCTGATGAGTACTTTCGGAGGAAAACAATGGAACTCCTCAATTACAAACTGAACTCAATGGGTGTTATAATTTTTATTATTTTTAAAGCATGTAACTGCTTGATGTTTAAATCTAAAGAAAATATAACTAGAAAAAATTCCACGCGGACCAGGCAGCAGCAGAATTATATAACTATAATTGCTATTTCTTCTTTCAAATGTTTAATACTTGTAAAAGTATTCTATTGACATTGTGGGTTTACCTATAATGCGAAGAGATGGCGCTGCCTTGCAGCTTAAGAATAGCTAGAGAGAATTTCGACGCGGTCCGTGAGGGCCGCGGTAGCATAATTGGTCAGTGCATTCGCCCGGATTGCGAAGGGTGCGGGTTCGAGTCCCGTCTGCTGCCTGGTCCGCGTGGAATTTTTTCTAGTTATATTTTCTTTAGATTCAATGGGTGTTAGTTTATTTTAAGAAATATGAAAGAGAATGCAGACTAGGCCATCTATATTTAGTTGATTTACCCAATATTGAGAAAATTCGATACATTCTACAATTTCTAATGAGTCCCAACTGTTAAAGTAACTTTGTTCCTTATTAAACAGAATTCTAGACTACTGGACTTGTTTTTTTTCTTTTTAGTACATTTTTTTTATTTTCGACATTTTAATTTCATTATTTTTTAATTACATGAGTTGTATATTTTCTAAATATTCTTTTAAAACCCTTCACTTTGATACCTCGCTTGACGGGTTATAAGAATACTTATACTTTTTTTTCAAAATGTTTCATTTTGGCGCATAAAATCTGTTATTTTGATTTTTTGAAATTTTAATATACCGAGTGCCACTCACACAATCACGACAAATCAAATGACACCTCACATGTCCAAATCCGTCAAGACGTTCAGGCTGTAGGGCGTGCCAAATTATTGGACGTACATACATACATGCATACATACGCTCGAAAAACATTATCGTCCGCAGTCGGGCAAAAAGTAAAATTTTTGCTTTAAACTGTGTTTTATTGGAAAAAAATTGGCTAACCTAGCAACCCTACAATTCACTCAGTCATCAATAGCCGCCGCCATTACGGTGCCTCAGTATGTCTTAGCCGAAACTCTGTCCGCCTTTTTTTATACGTCCATGATTATGATCTATACAATATTGTCCGAATAATAAATAATTTGCAATTGAATTATTATCCTTAGATTAAATCAATCTAAGTTATAATCTTTTTATAAATCTAATAACTTTATCTTTTATTAACTAAGCGCTAAAATTATTTGTTTCGTAGTTACCGAATGGTGACAACAAGTCTTTCTTCTGGAAGGATTGGTTGTTTATGCCAATTGCACCAATTTTTTATCAAACGGTTTTCCACTAAATCCAAAATATAATAAAATGTTTCTTGAGTCATTCGTGTATATGTATAAAATCTTTGATCATAAAATTTAAATTTTTTTACAAATAAATGATGGTATTCTCCGAAACGTTTCCTTTCTCTATTTAAAGGATGTATAGCTTTTTTCGCATTTTTAAATCCACATTTTCTAACAAAACCAAATCATCGTCCGATGAGTCCGACATTTTGCTTGATCTGCTTTAATCGGCTTCCTTTGTGTAGTAAGGATTGGCGCCGATAAGCGCCGATCGGCTTTCGGCTTTCTTTCTGTATACGGCCTTACCCTCGATCCTATATCTCAAATAAACAATAGCTGGCAAAATGACTCCTAGTCATGGATCTAAAAAGGTTTGACAACAAATGGAGTGAGTTGCCATGTGCAAAATTTAAATTTGAAAAAGAAAAGTGCATTGCATGCGTGACGTGAGTAGACGTGAACGATCGAATGACAGTTTTACGATTTTAAATTAATAATATTGTTATTGCAGAGCTAATATTTTTACATTTTTATTCATGTTTGAAAATAATTAATATAACAACGTGGACATAAAAAAATTGTGACTTATAAAGTTTGTGACTTATCAGTACTTAACAGTCACGTTTGTTTATTGGTTAACATCCGCCATTTTGTATTGTCGTTTGTTTAGTGACTGGATCTCTTTCCTAGTGATGCTATATAATTTTCCAGGAAATATATATCTATTGTGACTTTGCAAGTGCTGTACAATGTTTTTGCTAGAAACGTTGTTTTCAAAGAAAATAAATTAAAGCGTGTGACTTGTCAATCTGACGTCGGTATAATCATCTACCTATGTGCCGGATGTGTCCTACAATCGGTTAGGGCGATTTTACGTGCCACCTTGAGTGGTGTACGTGTCCCGATACCTATGCTGCCTAGAATATGAGTGGCAACGGGAATCAGGTGCCGTTGGCGCCGAATCAGCGCGGACCCGGACCGTATCCTTTTTAATAATGTGTTTACTGTTTTATCATCATATTTACGTAATATTTTGCCACTTCAGCACCTGGCAGTGCCGCTTTTGCGAATAGCCGTGTGTTGTGTTACAGTATAAAAGTTATTAGTTTTTTTTATTTTGCCAGATCTGGAACTCAAACATATTGCCTCGTCTCATTTTCACACTTTTTTACTATATTAATCAGGTTCAAGACTTTTTTACTACTTCACACAGATGTTAGGTCCTAAAACATGCTTGGTGATGCTTGACAATTACTTTTGCTATCACAAACCTCAAAATCACGCGATTATATGATATTTATCAGTGTATTTATACACTGACTGTAACTGTTATGTTTATTTCAGAACCAAAACCAATTTTTTTCTTTGTTTATATTACCTATCTAAAAATATTGTTGATTGTAGGTACTACTATGTATAAAATATGTAGTGTTTGCAACCTTTCATGAATTGGTATGGCTTTAGTTAGGCAAACTAATGGAAATTTAAATTTTATTAATTTCAGTGTTATCAGTTAATACTTCTTGTTAAAGTAATATAGTCATCTGTTTAGACAAACAATAAAATATTTGCTTCAAAAGGTAGATATTACAGCATGTCAATGCCTTTGAAATTTAAAACAATTGAGAAATAATGATGATGATAAAGACATCTTATTTTGCATAAATTCAACATGAACATATTTGTTGCATTGCCCCTGCATATAGGGATTTGAACTAACTGAACAGAACTAAAGTTGTTGAACTTATGTAGTGTTTTAGTATTTTGTGTCTATATCGTAAAAATCTTTTCAAGCGATTGTGTATTGATGCTTGCGATTTTTTTTATGTTTTTGTTTTTTCACAAAGTTGATCAAGACACTTAGCTTGATAATGAAAACATTGGTGTGGTTTTTGAAGTGAGATATAACAATCTTACTTTGACCTTTAATTATTTACATAGCATTAGTAGCTTATGATATGGAAACATTTCTAATTACTTCAACTTTTTACGGTGATTATGGCATTATTTATATTAATCTTTTCTTGTGTATTTGAAAGACGAACATGTGTGAAATTCAATTTAGTTGCATTTCATTTTGCAAGGAATATTGGATTTTAAAACTTACAATCTGTTGTAAGGATTTTACAATCGGCAGGCTTAATTGATGAGCATAATACTCCATACAAATGATCCAGAGAATATATTGTCTTGTTTTTTGCAGAAGGAAATGTCATTAAGATTCATATTATTAATATATTTTGTGGCATTGCATTGTTCTGTGACTAATATTGGGTTTTAAATTATATTTCATTGCACTCCATTTCTTTTATTTCATACAGTCATGGTAATTAAGTAACTAAACAACCATACTATAATGTTATTTATACATACTAATTCACTTTTTGTCTCATACCTGGCTCAATTCTAACATCAGATACACAGGCAATATTATATGCTTGTATCTATGAAGGAACTAGTTTGAGTCAGTATTTGTGACCTTATCTTGTTACCTTCTAAGAAGTTATATCTGCATTAAAACAATCTGCTGCTATACACCATTATTATAAATGTTATGTTTGACTTTTACTGTGATGCAACACTGCAACTAATTTGATAATAAATGTTTTAAAGGTGGCTACCAAGGAGCATGATCAAATAGGCTTAATTAAGCCATAACCCTTCTGTCATGTGGCATGTCCTTCTACACATGGTCAGTTAGGCTGTCAGGGTGGTGAGTGGCCTACATAAAGCATACAATGAAATCCTGTACTTGTTTATGAACTTTAGATTTAAAGGGAAATCTTGTGCTAAGTTTACATAAAGATAATTGAATTAAAGATCACACTACTAGCCAAAAGCTCTAGCAGATAAAAATAAATTTACTATTGCATTGTTTATTATTATAAAAATTTGTAAAGTTAGATATTCACCAGCAAACATGCTGTAATTTTTTTTTATGAGTACAAGATCTATTAAATTTTTAAATTTGATAATTGTCTGTTAGGAACCATTATATAATTGCACAGGCTGTCTAATATCCATAGTACCACTATTTCGAACTGACTTTCAAAAGAGATAACACTTTCTTATTTCCTTAATTATGCTGTTTGTCTTATTTGGTTATTTCTTATTTCTTTCAAGATAAATCATTTTTTTTTATTACAAAGTGTTTGTTCCATTTGCTTTTTTTACTTCAAATCAACATTCTCATCATCACATCAATGTCTCCACTGGTGAGACACAGGCCTGCCCTGTGGGTGAAATAGAAAAAAAGGGGGCCATGACCCACCCACATGAGCCCAGTTCAGATTGGTGGATGCAAACTATTATAAAATGCTCTTAAAGTACAGATGACTTCTATACATGGACTTATAAAAAAAGGCGGACAGAGTCCCGGTAAACAATAAACTGTGTCGCTCAGAGTCGGCCAGGTCGCTGTACGTACAAGCCGGCACGCACACATTCACACAATAGTCAGCCACTACGCGTGCAAACGTCAAAGCAGCCGACACGTTACGTGGAGATAAAAAATAAGCTAAACAAGATATCTTGCTTGTAAAAAGGTGTAAAAACCGTAGTGACCGAAAGAAAAAAAATCCAGGAATCACGTTTCATAGGTAAATGAATAATTGAATCACTTTTTTCTAGTTTTCAGAAATCGAAATCAATTTTAGTTCTAAGGACAAAATGATTAGTCAAAAGCCCAGTGTTGCCAATGTTCATGTAACCATATTACCTAAAATATGGGAAATTGGGTTTGAAATTAACTTCAATCTATTATTTATTATTCTTTTTTATCAGATTTCCTAAAGAAAATGTAGTATGGAGAAATTACTGGAAAATTAATGATTTCCAAACAAATATGTAGTAGTGTCATTTTTAGTCTTCATTTTGAAGCTCAAGACTTATATACAACTAAAGGAGGACTCCGGCGTGTTATTACGTATGCATTACCTCAAAAGGTTGATTAAAATTTTTAACCGACTTCGAAAAGAAAGAGGTTCGCAATGCGTCATATTTGTTATTTTTTTATTGTTGTTCACGCAAATCTCCGAGATTCGTGGACCGTTTATGATGATTCTTTTTTGTTTTAATCAGTTTACTAGCGAGATGGCTGCATATTAATTTACTGGAGATCTGATGAGTAATTTCGGAGGAAAACAATGGAACTCCTCAATTACAAACAGCACTCAATGGGTGTTAGTTTATTTTAAGAAATATGAAAGAGAATGCAGGCCAGGCCATCTATATTTAGTTGATTTACCCAATTTTAAGAAAATTCGATACATTCTAGAATTTCTAATGAGTCCCGACTGTTAAAGTAACTTTGTTCCTTATTAAACAGAATTCTAGACTACTGGACTTGTTTTTTTCTTTTTAGTACATTTTTTTTATTTTCGACATTTTAAATTCATTATTTTTTAATTACAAGAGTTGTATATTTTCTAAATATTCTTTTAAACCCTTCACTTTGATACCTCGCTTGACGGGTTATAAAAAAACTTATACTTTTTTTTCAAAATGTTTCATTTTGGCGCATAAAATCTGTTATTTTGATTTTTTTGAAATTTTAATATACCGAGTGCCACTCACACAATCACGACAAATCAAATGATACCTCGCATGTCAAAATCCGTCAAGACGTTCAGGCTGTAGGGCGTGCCAAATTATTGGACATACATACATACATGCATACATACGCTCGAAAAACATTATCCTCCGCAGTCGGGCAAAAAGTAAAATTTTGAACAATCAAAATATTTTCATGTTTTAACTGTGTTTTATTGGTAAAAAATTGGCTAACCTAGCAACCCTACAATTCACTCACTCATCAATAGCAGCCGCCATTACGGTGCCTCAGTATTGTTTTAGCCGAAACTCTGTCCGCTTTTTTTTATACGTCCATGCTTCTATATTGTATATATGTGGTCTCCTATCTTTCATATGATTGGTCATTGCGAAAGTTGCTTAATTAACACCTGCTAACCACTGCCATCAAGTTCCACAACTAGTAGGGAATATGCATGAAGTTTGAATTTTTCTTGAAATTTTTTTTTTCTCGAAACTTTATTGCAGATCACAGAATTTGGAATATGAGGTCGGCACATTTATACCTGGAAGATATTTTTTTATTAAGTTTCTATTTAAATCAATAACCAAACCAAAACTGGACCGAAAAAGCCAGCAACAGCGATGCATGGAAGGAAATGGAGGAGGCCTTCACTCTTTCTGGGGACCATAATTATTAGTATATAAGATTAAAAAATTTAGTATGTTAGTTCAATTATGGTAAATAAAATGCTTTTTATTTTATTTATTAAACCAATTAAATATATTAAAAGTGCAAAATAAGCAAGGGAAATTGAAACTAAACGCGTCGCTATTGATGGCTATGAAGTGTGACGTCACATGACACAAAATTGGATTTACCCGCGTCGGTATTCTCGTGGAGTAGGTAATTTTGCGATATATTCTGTAATGTTTTGATTATGTGAATAAGAAAAAAATACGTGTCCAATACTTTTTGATATCGTACCTGATAGACGAAGAAAAAAGTTTGTTGTGAGCGAACCTCTAACTTTTTCTTACGAAAATTAGTAGAGGGTGAAAATATTTTTATGTATTTTTTATGGTTTGGCATAACAGCAAAACATGTCCAAAAAATAAAAATATTTTTGGTGTGGACCACCCTTCTTAGGTGTACGAAAAATAGTTAAATGTCCTATTCCTTAAACCTTATGTTAAACCTTTCTGGTTTTTGTTTGCACTATCATATGTATTATAATTGTAATATTGCTTGAGTAAATAAATAAATAAATAAAAAAAATCTCAGCTACTGAATATACACACAAAATTTCATTAAAATAGGTCAAGTCGTTTCGTAGAAGTTTTGTTACAAATGCTGGCACGGGAATTTTATATAGAGAAAACCACCCAATCATTGGCATTCTCTTCGAAATATGGGCACTTTTTGAGTTTAGTTCGAAAAAACAAGGAAACAATAGATTATCGGAATTGTGCTGCCAATGTTCAAATTTTAAACCATACTAGGTATTTCTTTCTAATATGTAGCGAGATGGAATTACTATGGTTTCCTTGTTTTTTCGACCAATACCAAAAAATGGCAATAATTGGAAGAGTGCTAATGATTTGGTGGTTTCTCCTATTAGATTTACATATAAAAAGTAGTCCCTACTTCCATACGACTTTTCTAATTTCATCCCATTTTTTTTTGGTTTTTTAAATACTTTTTTTTAATAGGAACCTTCTATTCTTGCGCAAAAAAAATAACTACTACTAAAGTTAATGGGGATAAAGTCATGGGCGGAAGCTAACTCTTATTATTAAAATTTGGAAGTACGCATAGGTAATTGGTTTCACAAGTTTTGTTATATTTCAGTTGTCTTTTGTTTTGTTATATTTTAGTTGTCTTTTGAAAAATATGTGTCTTTAATTAGAAAGAATTGTATCCTTAACTGCAAATCCATTGAGGTATCTGCAAGTAGGGCATTGCTCTGTCACTGATGTGCTGTTTTACTGTTGTTGATGTAAACTTAAAACATTTGATTTTGAACTTTACGTCCAATGCGGCATACCAAAAATTACATAGGAGATAATTGTCACCTGACAGATGTTGATTGTATAAACAAAACATGAGAAATGTGATGCCTTGTTTACACCCTGACAATATTTTCCCGTCTTTATTTGAGCACAAGAAAATAATGCAACGTCCAAAGAAAAAAAACGTCAACCCTCGACATTAAACTCTCTCTCTTAAACAATGTATCGACGAGAACTCGGTCGATCGACTATGCTTTTCACAGTGGCAAATTAGCTCGAAACGCATCCATTGCTGTTTCCGTTTGAAGGGACTATGTAAAACTATGATCAAATACGGCATTGGACGTAGCTCATGTTCACATGTCTTTTTCGAAGATAGGCGAAATGAAGTCTGCGGCGAGGGTTACTAGGGGCCACTGGGGAACGCCCCAAAATCGAGGCGCCGAATCCAACTATGTATTTCTGTCTCGCTCTTTCACCCTGCCCTTGTAGGCGCATACGAAACGAAATGTTCTGTAGCACTATCTTTCAATGGATCTTTTTACACAAATATCTTTATAATGATAACTAAAAAATATTATTGAAAAGTTTCTGTACAATAAAAAGTACTTTTATAACGTTCACGTTGAAGTAAAAGTGTCGCGGTGGTATTAATTTTAGTGCAAACATAGAGCATGTAGCGCGCCGTTTCCTTATCGATTTTCTCTATGCTGCATTAAATTACTATTTAAATTGTGAATGCGGACTGCAAATATTTTAGCAATATGCGTTACGTGAATTTGTTTCGCAATCGAACCTCTACTATTGTGTGGTGATTAATAATAACCCCGGTGCTTGACTTTAATTTTTAACATCAGTTACACGTAATACATATGTGAAAATCTACGTAAACAGTATTTTCAATGTGATTAAAACAAACAACGATATCAGTATTATGAGATGATACAATAAGATAATCAACACCCTATGCCGATGATCCTGTCTCCTCTTTTATGGGAATGGTTTGACATTTGGCTTGTTAAATTTTTAAAAGATTTGTATCATGAAATTAAAATGGTAGCTCTAAGAGGAACTAGTAGCTCTATAAATTCTTTATCGCACGCGTGTGTCAACCATGGCAATCAGTCACAACATAATGCGATTGATGTGGCACAAAGTTTACAAACATCGTTGAATATGTCCCAGTCGGCAGTGTCACAGCACATGAATGCGAATCAAATTAATTTACAACCTCTTAATAATGTCTCCCTGCAGTTTATACTGCAGCAAAATAACCCGAACTCCCTTAAGCATGAGCAATCCTCAACTCGGTACTCTAATTCAAACTGTGTGCTGCCTTCGCAACATTATAGACTACTAGCGCAAGCCAGTAAGTTGTACTTACTACTATTGATTACTACCAAAAATCATAATTTAATGTAACCATTGATATGCTTTACATTATACGCTATGCATTTGTTACTAAATTGGGTTTAAGAAAAAAACAGCGGCTTTTATTTCGTAATAAATAAATATGAATCGCTAATGAATGAAATGATTTCCTTAGCGCAACACAGTTATCCACGGGCGTCAACACCACACAGTGAGTTCGACAGTGATAGGTAACTGCATTAAGATTAGTGTGGTTTTCGTCGTGTCTAATTTGACTATTTGCTTGCAGGACCTGTGGATTGTTACCATCCTCCAGGCGCAACTGGAGCCGCTTACATACAGAGCTCGGCCGGCGGCGCACAAAATTCCGGTCAAGCTTCGCTGAGGGTCCAGCAAACACCACAGCCGTCGGCGCCGCCGGCACCTCAACAGGATTTGTCAAAAAACACTATGGTAATTTTTTGCGTAATTTTCATATTATATTTTACTTGTAAAGAAGGTATTATTTCACTTGGTTTTGTTCACTCTACATTTAGATTTTCAGTAATCTCTTGTTTTATAACAATATCTTTTACATAAATCCTTAAAAGCTCTTGATAATTTCGGTGTTAAATTCTTAAGATTCCTGCTGTGGTTATAATTCTTTGTTTATATAATTTTTGTAATGTTTAATTTACATTATGCGTATTTTTTTTCCAGGCTGCCCATAGTTACGTGGCACCGCAAAATCAGACACCACAAGCTCGGGCGCAGTATTCGAATTTCCAATACAGAGGGGCACAACATGGAACAAGACCCAACACACATCCTAGGTAATTTACTCACCTATTCGTTTTGAAGTTGTATTCTTTAGATGAACGTGTCCCGCATTTCACATTAATTTTGCCTAGTTGTTATAAAATGTACATTCACGCTTTTGTAACACATAAGGTTTAATAAAGTATGAGCTTTAGATAAAGGGTTTACATATATTCAATCACTAACGGGAGCTTGCGACTTTTGCGAAGATTGTTTCCCCGTACAAACTTTTATCCTTTGACTTAGCTTATAAAGTTTTATTTTCACGAAAAAAGTGCACACGTATTTTCCAAGGGATGTCTTTATCTCTGTACTAAAATTCACCATAATTGTTTTAGCGGTTAATACGTTAACAATAACCAGTAACGAGTTGCTGTAGCATTACTAATATTGACATGAGATTAATGAGGGGATATCAAGCTTAGTATATTATATTCTCTTATTTCCGCCTTGTATGAAAATGGAATGCAATGAATATTATAGACTGCATCTAGCAAGCTTCTATCTAAAAAGTCGCACTTACCATACTACCAAAAATGACATATCACTTGTGCCGGTATACGTATTACTTTTACTTTCTAGTAGTGAGAAATATTGTTTCATAAAAATTTGCCTTGCGCTCTCTCTGTTTCTGACAAACTGATTTATCACGTGGTGACATCGGAGTCCTAATACTGAACTCCGCTGACCGTATTTCCTTCTATGAGCTAAGGATTTATCTCATGAACCGAACTGTAATAGGAAGACATTTTTTATATTTTTATATTAGGTTGTGGAAAAAGTGTTTATTTACTTTTAACTATAATATGTAGGTGCCATTTGGTTCGATAACATTTTTCCATCTTGTAGGTAGGGACATGATCCCATTGCTATAGAAATTTTAGGGCTTCGGATAAAAAAAAACCGCGACAAGTGGTTTTGGCAGTCCTCTCGTGATGTTAACTTGACACGGCCTAAACAATTCTGAAGAGGCCAAAACAGGTGGAAATCTGAAGGTGCAAGGTCAGGACTATATATATATATATCTTAATTTGTGCTGAGTGGCTAAAGATGTGTGAGGTCTAGCTTTATCATGATGAAAAACCACACCCCTTCTGTTGATTATTTCCGGCCGCTGTCTCTCAACTTCTTGCTTCAATCTTATCAGTTGTTCGCAGTAGAGTTCAGAATCGATGGTCCTGCCTGGCGGTAATAGCTCATAATGATTAATGTCCTTCCAATCCCACCATACACACAGAACTACCTTGTTGCGAGTTAACCAGGGATACGCTGAGTCTATGAAGCCTGACCAGCCTTTGACCATGACCTTTTTCGCAAGTTCTTGTCGTACGTGATCCACTTTTCATCATCTGTTATCAGCTTCAAGAATGGTTCGGTTTTATCACGTCCTAATAAAGAATCACAAATAGTACACGGATCATTAGGTTTTTAGTGAGCTCGTGAGGCACCCAAATATCGAGCTTTATTGTGTACCCAGCTTTTTTCAAATGCGCAAAATTGTTTTGTGGTCAATTCCTAATTCTTCCGCTACGTCGTACATACAGATAGGCCGATCTTGCTCCACTTTTTCAAAAATGCCATCCATTTTATGCTTAACAGGACGACCAGAGCGACACTGCAGGTCCATAAACGTCACAATTTTTTTTTCGCGGGTTTCGTTGCATTTTTACCTTTTTTGTAGTTAAATTTTAAAATGGATCGAATTTTATTTATTAGATTTACTCATCTTGGCAGTAACAAAACAAATGAAAATCACACATTCGGATTTGAATTTGGAATTATCTTCTTTAAAATTAAAACTTTTACGGGTATCAAAACCAGCCAAGTTCACACATACTATAATGTGAGAAGACTTTTCCCCCAACCTATCATTTCGACCGCAACTACGACAAAGGTTTTGACTTGTTCTTGCGTTAAATCTTAAACAGTATGGCACGGAACTTCGCTCTGTCTTAAAATGGTTCGTTATAAACTTCGCCAGCAATACATTGGTTTGACAGAATTCGTATTATGTGTACCTATGCAATCTTGCATTTAATGAAGCTTAACTCGACCGCATTGAGAATACGAGCGTGGCTTTAGCATTGTTGAATATCTACTTTACAATACAATAACATGTGGATAGAGAGTGGAGTATGAGAATAATAACAATTCACATAGCTATTTGCCCAGATAGTAAGTCTACCAATTTATAGGTTACCTATTTTCTAAAACTTGTTACTATTTCCATACAACAAAAAATAAGACACAAATAAGCTGCAATTAAACGTTTTATTCAGCTGCAAGATTACGATCTGAAAACAGCATTTGTGTCAGAATCACAGGTCGGCTACTCAGTCCGCATTAAAGCCAGCGTAGTTATCAAACTTCTAGCTAGCAGTTTTTAGAACTTTACACCAAGCGAAGTGCATAGTTAGTCAACAGTTTTGATGTAGTTAAGCCAACTGCATTGAAATATGAGCCCTTATTTCAAGCCCTATGTCACTGCGAAATACGTTTTACCGAATTACTAATTATTCTCATGTTTTTACACATTCTACCATACGCTATAATAGATACTTACGTAAAAGATATTTCATAGAGCATAGTTTAAGAAGTCGGTGGACGATCGATAGTGGCTACCTGGCTACCTAATATTGAGAGGAAATTTCGAAGTTAATGTAAACTTACGACTAATTTTGCAAGTAATATATAATTACTCAGGTCGAGCTTATAGAAGCATTTAGATGCGAAAGCAATACACCAATTTCTTTGGCTTTACCTATTCTTTCAGCAAGATTTGGGTCGAGAATAGAATAAGATAATAAATAAATAGAAATCGCTATCGGAAATGTTATTCTTAGCAAATGTATACATTTCTGGGCCTATTAAGCAAATATGTAAATAAAAATATTACTTTTAATTAAAATTGTAAAAATGAACTGTTCATGGGGTATTAAAACACGAATATGGGTTTATCACACGAGGTGAAGCGGAGAGAATCGGGCGGTCAAAGTTTGTACGGGAAACCAATATTACCACGCAGGTGTAGTCGCAGGCACACCCACTAGACTACTAAGTGTTATGTTAAAAGGTCCACAAAAATGCTTAATGCAAAGCAAAAAAGTATATTGCCAACCTATACTTCGACTTTTTATTAGCTGCAGTAAAATGACGTTTCAAAATGTCATTCCGTAAAATAATGTTGACCGCCTAATTTCAATAGGGATGTGCTTAGGTTCACAGAAAATGTAATCGTTCCATAACTAACTCATAAGGATCATACTTAATTCTATTTATTATTCATATAAATAAAAGGCTGTATAAAATCTCAAGTTGGTACTGGTCTTTAGTTACGGTGCTACGATGATGCTTGTCCGCCATTTTATTTTATTTGTCATTCGCTCATTCGGCTTCTAACTAGGGTTGCAACGATATATCGGAATATCGATAATATCGAGACCAAAATATCGATATTTATATCGATATTTAAAATTCACTGATATCGATAATATCGATATCGGAAATTCTAAAATATCGATATTTCGTAGACTAAATTTGAACACAATAATATCAGTTAATTTACCTGCTATGACTATCTAAATTGAAAATTATCGAAATAACTATTGCTTTGAAATCGCAAGAGCTTATAGATGTATTTAAAAAATCTTGAACCCCAAGAAATATACTAAACTGGTGTGGATTCTGGCATGTTTCTCTAAACCTAAAATTAAATTTGACAACAGTGTATCCTTGTCATTCTCTATACAGAATGAAAAGAAGAGACTGATGTTAAATTTAGTTTTAAGTTTAGATAATCATGCCAGAATCGACACCAACGTATATAGGTATAATCGTATACCTAATGGTAACTCATGCACTTAAATAAAATCCTTGCCTCTCTTTCTAGATAATTGTCAACTACTGATTAATTGAAATTTAATATCATTGTAATATAACACAAAATAAAATTAAGAATCTTATACAAATCGTAAATTTTTTAAGCTCGCCAAGTCAAGAAAGTAAGATAGGTATAGTAATTTTGGAAGCTTTGGGCTTACCCTATTCTGAAGCCATGGGCACGCCCCTGATGTTTTAACATTTTAAACAAAATAAATATCTTTGATTCGAAATTGCTTTTGATTTGATACTTCTTACAGTGCTATAAAAATATAGAAAATATCTATAACCATCGTGTTGGAAATGTTGGAATGGCTGATATATCGGATCGGATATCGATATTTACCTGCCCACATTATAAATATCGATATTTTGGAAACCTTTGCTTCCTTAATTTTAGGTTTTTGCTTTGCAAACTTAACCCAAAGCAAAAAAGAAAAAAATATCGATATATCGATAATATCGAGTTAAAATCGTCGATATATCGGATATCGATATTTTCCTGACTTCGATATAAATATCGATATTTCAAAAGACTTTGCATCCCTACTTCTAACTTCTGTTTTGAGTGCACGAATAACTTTGCTTTGCCCACTGCGAGTTGTTTTAGTTATCATTATTGTTAAATTTTTGTCACGTTATTTTTGTTTTTCGTTACCTACTTTTTCTTAATCGTGTCAGCTTTTTTTTGTTTGTTACATCGAAGACATGGATGCTCAGTTGAGCATATCACAAGATGGAGATACATTTCTATCTCCTAAGAAAAAAAGGCCACGTGTAGCTCTTAGTGCAACCGAGAAACTTTGGGTCAGAAACGTTTACAAATATGTGTTTGAAGTGAAATCTACAGAATCAAATATTGAAGTTCCAAAAACAAGTGGATGCGTCAACAAGGTGGCTGAAGTCTTGGGAATATCCGTCCGCACTGTTTATTTTGATTTAAAGGAGCACAAGGAGAACGACTTTAAATCACCAAAACCTCCCGAAAAGCCTGGCCCAAAACTTACAAGTTTACCTGTCATCACTAATCTATTTATTATACGTTAGGCATAATATGTTTTCTCCCACCCCATGTGGAATTTTAACCACTTAGATTCAAGAGTGGCTGACCACTAAAAATATTAAATTTGAACCAAATATAGTGAAGGCCACTCTCATAGATATTGTGAAACAACAAAATCATACTGAGAAATATGCCGTGGACGAGATTGCTGCATAAAAAGGTATCAGACTTTTAAAACTGCCCCCTTATCACTGTGAATTGAACCCAATCGAGTCGGTTTGGGCTCAGGTAAAGGGGCACGTCGCAAACATTAATAAAACATATAAAATGCAAGAAGTGAAAACTTTATTCTAAGAAGGAATCAACAAAGTGACACCGGTTAAGTGGAGTGACTGTGTGTCTAACACTATAAAAGAGGAAGACAAAATGTGCCACCTCGATCATATTATTGATGAAATGACAGACAGATTTGTCATTAGTGTGACCGAAAGCGACAGCGATAGTGATTCCGAAAATATTTGATTATGACTTTTTGTTTAATTTTGGATGTACGTCCCGATACTTCCAATGAAAAAGATCAATCCTTTACTATAGTAATAATAATAGAATAAAAAATCATTACAACTTAATATTAAATCTCTTAAACGAAACCAAACTGATCATTCATTTATTGAATGATTAACTTACTCACTTAGCTACATCCCTATTTATTTTTCTTCAAAAAGCGGTAACCCACAAAACGTCATTTTACTGCAGCTAATAAAAAGTTCTACTTTAGCCTTAGTTTTAGTTTTACAAATGTATTTTTATCCTGTGCATTTTGTCTTTCGTCATCATCATCAGCCTATAAATGTCCCTACTGCTGGGGCACAGTGTTTCATTCTCTATGCCATAAGGAGAATGGGCATTATCCCCCACGTGCGCATTGCGGATTGATAGGTGGTAAAGACTGCAGGTGAAGACCGGGACCAACGCTTAACCTGCGCTTTGAAGCACGGAGGAGCTCGAGATACCATGTTTTTGTTGACCCATCTGATAACCTACCATTGCGCAAGTTGCTTAACTTCCAGGAACGCAGGCCTAACGAGCTAACCACCTGCGCCATCGAGCTCCTTATTTTGTCTTTAACATACACCCGCCTAGAAATTGCCGCTACCTGTAAAAGTCTATTAAAATTAACCATTTTAATAATAATTTGTTTCTCTTTTCTTTCCATATAGGCAACAGCAGCAGTTCATCCCTGGCACCGCTGCCACAGCTACGGGAACGCTCATGTATCCTATAGTGTTCCAGCCGACACATATGGGCATGCAAACTTACCAGCAACCACGGTCGAGTACACAGGGGTAAATAAATAAATAAATATTTCCAACACTCACACCATTCAGTCTAGCCCCAAAGTAAACACAGACAGTCTTGTGGATCGGATACTAGAGTAACGGATAGAATACATATGTTGATACAAATATAAGTATATTTTATGTAGAAATACAAAACATTCATGACTTAGGTACAAATGTTTGTATTTATCATTTGCTCCACCGGGATAAGAACCCTGTTCCCTGGACGAGTAGGCGACACCTTGAAACCAAGCGTACATACCACTCGGCCACAGAGGTCGTCATAAAAACATATTCATTTAGCAGCTTTCTGACGTCTTTGTTATATTAATTTAGAACACAGTCCAAAAACTGATAATACTGCATAGGAATCCTAACCAATATCCAGCGAGTCTGTTTTACTTGCAATTGCAAAACATGTATTATCAGACTCTTATAAAGACTTTAAAAATAAATTTGCGATAAAAATCTTGAGGCGCAGAGAAATTTTATGAAAATTAATATTACAAAACTCAATGTAAAGTTACTTACTAAAATAATTGAACTATCTGGGAAAGAAAAAAAATTACTAGTTAAGTATAAAAAATACTAGATTTTAATTGTTTGCTCATTGTCTAAAATAAGTTGACTAAATAAGTTCAGTGTTGACTCGAAAAATATCAAGAAATCTAAAATCATCCTTATTTGATCGATCTGGCCGGATCCGTCCGGTTTGAAAATGACGCCGGATTGCAATCCCTAATACTGCTGCGATTTCAGCTCCGGCCCCACTTCAAGGAAAAGTGCTTCAGCCCGTCGCCTGAGTGCAAGGACCTGCGACATGCGATTTAAAAAATTGTAGTTATTTTATTTTTTAATAAACAGTAAGGCCGGTTAACTGTAATATAGCAATAAAAAATTACAAATGTTTGGTTCATGTGGAATTCGCAAAAACTAACTACGCGGACGGGCGGGCGCAAGCTAGTCTAATAAATTTGTAATATGAAAGCTTAATTTTTATATAATTTTGATTCTTATCTAACCAACCAGATGAATAAGGTTGGGATTTTTTTTCTAACTGGTCCCCAAGGTGGGACGTCTTAAGGTGCTCTCAGACGACCTGTGTTGTCAGAAATCAGAAATCAATATATCTTTATTCAAATTGGATGTATAGTACAACACTTTTGAATCGTCCAAACATTTTTTTTCCCTACCACTCGTTATTGGACATATTTTTTAGCTGCGGAGAAAAACGAGCGAAAAAAACTCTACAATATTAAAAGCATAATGTAACAACATTTACAAATCATTATGTTGTTACAACGTCAATACAATCATGATTTATTTAATATAGAAAACTGTTGGAATGATTGGAACAGTTCAAACCCAAGCATTTTTGTCTGTAATATAATCAGACACTTTGTAATAAGCTTTTTTAATAAGTGCTTTTTTTATACTATCTTTGAATTTATTTATTCTTAACTCTTGGATATTTGCTTGGGACTTTATTGTATAAGCGAACACAAAGACCTTTAAATGAATTATTGATTTTGTGAAGCCTAGTAGCAGGTAAAGTTAGTTTATTTTTGTTTCTTGTATTAAGTGTGTGAACATCACTGTTTTTAAGAAACAAATTAATATTTTTTCTTACAAGTAATAAATTTTCGTAAATGTATTGTGATGCGACCGTCATTATACCAAATTCTTTAAACCTATCTCTTAAGGAATCCTTAACTTTAAGATTATAAATTGATCGAATAGCTCTCTTCTGCAGCACAAAAATAGTTTGAATGTCGGCGGCGTTTCCCCACAATAAAATTCCGTACGACATTACACTATGGAAATAACTAAAGTATACTAATCTGGCCGTATCTACATCCGTTAACTGGCGTATCTTCATTACGGCATATGCTGCAGAACTAAGTCTATTTGACAATTTATCAATATGTGGGCCCCATTGAAGCTTAGAATCTAAAGTAATCCCTAAGAATACTGTGGTGTCTACAAGGCCCATATTCCTATCCTTTACATTCACACTGGTTTTTACCTGTTTTACATTAGGTAATACAAATTTAATACATTTCGTTTTTCCTTCATTTAGTAATAAATCATTAACATTAAACCAGTGGGCTACCTTAGAGATACAACTGTTCACGTCGTCAATAACTGTTTCCTTACGTTTGAGTTTAAATAAAAGTGATGTATCATCCGCGAACAATACTATCTCATGCTTATCTCTAACGTAGTAAGGTATTGTCGTGGGGGAGGCACCGCCGCGCAGGATTGCCAAACGTATGAGAACTCTAACGTTTGAGATTTATAGTCTCTATACATGATACAAGTTAAATAGATATGGCGTACACTTTGATATGAGATTTGAATAATGTTCACTGTTTGTGTCATGTTTACAAACCAAAAATATTATCAGAAAGTAAATAAATGTCTAGTCCATAAAGGATCGACTCAGTACAGCTTCATTATACCATCGCAATGTCACTTCATTATACACCAAAAAAATCGTAACTAACACTACCAAGAAGTGACGTAGAGTTGTAGTCGCTTATGACGTAGAGCTTAATAATACTCCATAACAAATTCAGTAGGTAATTATTCGGTATTCCAACCCAAGGTGGGATACGAACATGTAGAAATATGCCGAAAATATTGAGTAAGGCCGCGACCGCACTAAGGCGACTGCAGGACGGTTACCGACATGTGCTATTCGGCATTACATTCATTTCCTCATTTGTTACTTCGTTACGGGCTTATCATGCTTGTGCCACATTGCGTAGATGTCTGTAGTAGGCTTGATCGCCTTGACCTTTAAAAGAGAAAAACGATATCGTACAATAAGAAATGGACGAAAGCAGGTAGATCACTATAGTTACGGAGTAGATAGGTGCTGAGGATACAAGGTGGAAGAATTGAGCTATTATACTAGCCAGGTGTTAATGTAAAAAAAGCTCGCCGCAATCATATCATTTTATAGCATTTTTTTATATATGATCCAGGGTGCAACTGAGATAATTATGATTCTTCGATATTGAATATTATTATTTTTATGTTTACAATATTGGTAATAAATTAAAAATTTTGGTTACTATCTTCCTGATGTAACTATACATTTCAATGACCAAGTAGTTATATATAGATCCTGCTCCTAACTTCAATATTTAAAAGTAATTTAAGGGTGCCTTGCCTTATAAATCATCGTAAACACTCTTATCGTGTATTTATTGTCTGGTAGATAAGTTACTTAAAATATTTTACTTATTTAAGCTGCTTTTCTATGAATACCTTTTGTTAATTTTACAACTTTTTTGGTTAAATGATTGTAAAGGGTCGCCTTTGTCGAAGGTTTAGTTAGATCAATAGATTTGGTGTATTGTTCTAAATGTACTGAATAGATAGATTTGGTGTATTGTTCTAAATGTGCTGAATAGAACAAAAGCATGCCTAATTTGTTTATCTCTAGAATATTTTTATCTCCAACCATATTTTCCAGTAATTCCATTTATGAATTTCCTTTGATCAATAATTCTATAGATAACGGGTCAGTGCTTAAAATCCGTCTCGGTAAAAATAGCCTCACTTGAGGCGTGAGATCTTATTTTAATATAGCTCGGTTAATACAAAACGAATTAAAACAAACGCTTTTCAATGACTGGTAAGAATATTTTATATTGAGGGTCATAAGTTTGATTTCTTCACCTTTATGGTTTTTTACAAGTATCAGAATAATTTTAAAAAAGAACAAGATTTAGTTTTATAACATAAAAGGTCGTATGTGCGAAATAACATTTTGTTATTTGTAACCTTATTCCTTTGTGAGATAATTGTTATAAGGTTAACTTAACTGTTTTTAAACATTTATATTTGTTCATTATCAATTCAATTAATGTAGCTCAACGATATTAAATACCCTAATACACCACGTGCGCTTAAAATGTGTTCCAATCAAGAAGTGCTTGAACACGACTCGAGCACTTCTCGGTTCACTCACAGTCAATCGCGGACCGTTGAAAAGTCAAGATGCCGCAGTCCTCCCTAAAAAACTGCAAAATAAATACTTATAGTACATAAATTGTTCTTTTTTTCGACAGGTATCTGTAAATGTTTGCTATTTAACGCATTTGAAGCATTTTTTTTTCTAATACCTACTAACTGATTTAATAGAAAATATTTGTGATATTCAAATGCATGGTCGGTAATATAGCTGTCCCTTATCTTCCCGGACCATACCTGTAATATTGCTAACAGCGCATTCAGAATTGCGCGTAGAGTTATAGTAAATATGGTCTATGTTCTTCCGCATATAGCAATAAGGCGTAAAATTTTACGAGCTTGCATTTTGAACTGTCATAGCTCTTTGACGCAAGCGTTTTAATTAAGACCTTATACAGTATGCATTAAAGGTGACTTTCAATGCTTAAATAATGCCTTATATTGCTTTTGACTACGCGATCATATTACAGAGCTCCGTGGATCGTTCAATGTAACCCTGTGAACAGGTTTCGGCCATGATTTTGTTCGGGATGTTGTATGTAGCTGCATAAGTTTAAAAATACGCGGACAGTTTTTAGCTTTGATTTTGTATGCAACCCGTTACCTATAGAATTGTTGATCGAAGTGAATTTTATACTGAACTTGATTCTTCTCTTTGAATTATTTTTTACCCTCTTTGTTCTTGAAACTATAACAATAGGGATTTTGAACTTTTTGACTCCAAATTAGGTCTTGACTGTTGAGAATGAAAGCCCCATAATAATTAGCTAATATCGAAGTTGGCGGTAAATGTTTATATTTTAAGTATTAGTGCGTAAATCATTAATTCATGTGTCTTTTTATGAAAACTTCACTGCCAAGCATAGACCATAAAAATCATATCACATGTTTTGGTATTTTCTTTATATCCCTTTATTGTATGTAGTAATAGTTAGTAACGGCAAGGTGATAGGGTTCTTCAATTGCTGTTTCAATATCAAAAGTTTAAATAGAAATAATAAACTTTTGCCATTGAAATAATTAACCTATTAGATATCTGCGATTTAGATAAAAAATATCGTTTAAATTGCAATCTGGCAGGTACTCAAAAATTATTAATTAAAATAAAATATGTACTACACTTCACACTTATTTCCATTCTATATTTTATGGGTTCAATTTGGTGCCCCAGAATTTTGTTACAGTGTGTCTATATCATGTTACCTACCGAAAATATTTAACTACAATGTATGAATTATAAGCTTTCGCTAAAAAGCCTTTTGACTAGTTAAAGCAAATAATTGTAACTAGCAGGAGCTTTTTTTGTAATTAACACTGAAAGCAAATGTTAGCCTTTTCTCTTTGTTTCAGGTACTTTCCATATATGACGCCATATATAAGTTACAGCAACCCTCCAAGTCATACGTCACCTTGTAAGTATATTGTCAAGAATTCTATATGTAATGCAAACATAATGATTTTATTATCAATATTGTATACCTACATTAAAATAAAATTATCAATCAAGTTGAGGGAGACCTTTATACTAAAGACGGTGTGTTTGTGTCCATAAATATTATTTTTTATTTTTTTCTTTCCACGACGTAATCAGAAGGGAGATTGCGGTGGGCCACAGAAAATAAATTTAAGCTATGATATAATAACTTACGTGTGCTTGCTACTTCGCCTGCATAGTACATTTGATAAATTTTAATGTAGATAATTATGGGCTTTTATCATTCTCTGAAGGTTCCCTTAAATTTGTACAAGAATTTTGTCTTGCAGTGGTATATTAAATTTTACCAGACAAAGCTACTTGAGAAGTTAAAACATCAATATAGAATCGTGTATAAGAGTAAAATTTTGCACTGAGGGCATATATTTTAAGTTTAGACATAATTTTTCATTGAGCATCAGCATAACTTGAGCCGTCATTCACAAATGCTTCCTTACGCAAAATACCATGATTAGTTTATTATTATTTCAGTGTCAATGCAGTTTTAATACCTTTGTGATTTTTATACAATACATTAATATAGTTACGAAATGGGTGCTCTATACAGTTGCAACAATGGTATTTCGTTTTTAGTCTCTCAATAACTAAAAAAGTTCTTTTTTATTATATACATATAAATAGTGATGTAACGGATTTTGGTTTTTGCTTGTACTCTTATATAGTGATATAGAGTGGGTTTTGTAAGTACAAATCGTTTGTGCCCCATAGATTTCTTCACTTCAAACAACCAGCCGTTGCCTACGCCCAATCTGCAAGGGAATGCGCCTGGTGGTAGGAACAATCCCACCACGCTAGTCGGCCCCCAAGGCACACCCGCGACTCCCACCGCACCTACGTCGTCGTTGTCGCACCCCCAAGGGCCTGCACATATGCATCAAACTATACCTGGTAATATTATTATTTTCTGCATTTATGTGTCCTTAATAAATATATTAACAAACCATAACACTTAAAAAACAAGCCTCAATAATCGTGCTTTAGGCTGTCTTAAAAATTATAGTGAATGCACTAACATTAAAGAACTAATTTTCTTTGATTGGGATCTCATCTACTCGTAGTCTGCAATTATATTTAACGTGCTAATTGCTAAATGTTCCAGTCCCAAGGCTGGACTTTCTAAATCCATTATCGGGCTGTTTAAATGAATCAATCTCCTGTCAAAAATAAGCTAATCCTGGTTTTGTTTCTTAGCAACAGTAGTTATACATCGTGAATTTTGAGTAATCTAAACAACTTAAGAATCGTATAAGTACTAATATAAAAAATAGTACGAACAGTTATAACCAGTAGACGTACTAACTCCCATACCAAAAATATTACATTCATATCCCTTATAAAATATCCTATAAACGGCGCAAATTTGTGAATAACATACATATATGTATGTGGAATTATTATCCGTTTAAAGTAGATAGATCCTATATCCTATAGTTTTAGTTGAATCAATTTATGACAACGAAAATTGATTTTAATATATTCTATACAATGCCGAATGCCCAGTCGGCAATGTGTGTAAAGAAGATAGCCCGTCGAATTTTCCTAGTTTTGTTGATCTATTAACTATCAGGTAGCTTCGCCGGAGCTGCCCAAACACGCTCGCTTTGCTCACTCGACTCGCGCTTTGTTTAGGTCAGTACCCCTACCACAAACCATTATCGAATTCGAATGGTTTGTATGGAAACTTGAACAGCAGCGCCACAAAGTACGTAACCAGAACTTAAAATCAGTAAACATTTGATAATGATATTTCGGACTCGCAAACGTTACGAATTCGTATTGGTTTGTGCTAAGGGAACAGAACACTAACTTAACCCACTGTGAGTTGGTCAAACTTTCATTGGTCTGTGATTTATCTGGTGAGAATTATAAAATCCGTCCGTCATTTTATATGCAACTGGGTAGGCTAGCTTAAGTTAGGATAAATACAGGCCAAATCTCTTTACACATTGCCGGTGGGCCAGTAGGCACTCTATACAATCCCTAGGAATTGTTTTCGTTACCTAGGCAAAGTATAAAATGGAAAATAATATTTATAATATTCCGTACGTTGCCTAGAAGCCTCAGGCATTCTATACATTGCCTTGGTATTGTATAGAATACCTGCATTATACGTATTGCAGGTGACATATAAATCTAATTAATAAAAATATCTAGGTAACTAAGCTCTTATAAGCCAACATTATTGAATCCGGCAATTAGAGTAAAGATTATCAAAAATGTTTGAATACTATTTTTAAATATGATATTAACATTAAAATCGTGGTTGTTCGTCATTATTATTGTTAAGTGTTATAATATGGTTTTAAATTTATTAATTTGTTCCCAGGGATACGCCCAACGTTAATACAGCCAACGAAGCGTCCGAGTCACAGAGTACCTATCATACACCCTGTTACTCGTGAGTTTAGCTTTAAAAATAGTTATTATAATTTGCTTGTTGTTATGTTGCTTTTTACTCTTCCACTCCCACAAGTGAGCGAATAGTTCACTGTGTCTAAGGTCGTCGTCTTAAGAGTTCGATTGGCATTTTACTATTACTTAAAATTTTATAAATTTCTAACTGTCCTTGATCTGAGTAAAGAAAAAGTAAAAAACTGAATAAAAGATGATGGCAAGCATTAGGAATTTTAGCTAATATGACGTTCTTAATATAATTATCTACAATATTATCCCTGTACTATACAATTTCAACATGCATGATAATTGTTTCAGGACAAGATATATTGTCGGAATTAGCGTCTAGTGAAAATCAATATATGAGTAGTGACTCCAACGAGAGGCAGACGCCGCAGCCAGTAAGTAATGTATAACACTAAAGTTTTGATATTTTTAACTTATTATTTTTTTGAATATAGTTAATGTCACGTTAAATTCATAGTAAATGTGTCAAATTGCGACAAATGTTATATTTTTCTACAGGATTTAACTGTAGCCAAATTTTACTATCGATGAAACAACGCAGCCTTAAAGTTTTTGTGAATAAAGCTTTTAATTTTAGTATGTTTTACGAATTATTTGCAACAATTGGATGATTGCGTCTGAGTATACCAATCTACATATTTTATCTGTTTAAAATTGTTCTCGTTTTTGTCGCTAGGAACAGCAGCAACAGTCGCATAGTAGTAGTATTGCTGAAGAATTCACTAGGATGGTAAATGAAGTGGCTAATCAGCCCACTTTGAGTGAATCTGCTGCGAAAGCAGCAAAAAACAATGAGGTGCCTACAACAACTTCCACATCAAACTCACAACCTCAAATAAATGCAATAACTTCTATTAATAGTAATTTAGGGAAGTCTGAAATGTTAACTAATAACGAAAATAAGAATTTAGGACCTGATGTTGCTGTTGAACCCAACGAAACGCCAGTCGTGTCAGCAATATCAGACAGTCCTGTTATAGTGCCTAAACTGCCTAAGCAACTCCAAAAGAATAGTGATCAGAATATTCAGTCTTTAGTTATAGATACTAATAAGAATCCAGCTAATAAGCAACAAAAAACAATTAAAAACAAACCAGTCGTGCCTCAAGTCGAAGATGTGGACAAGTCCACAGATAATAGTAATATAGTTCCTCAAGAGGCTGCAGTCCCGGCAGCGCAAGTAGCTACGGTGCCGCCACCCGCTACTGCGACCCAAGTGACCGCCCCAGCGACCACGACCGCGCCCGTCGCTACTCCCGCTCCCGCGCCTGCGCCCGCTGTCGCGTCCGCTCCAGCTCCCGCGCCCTCCCCTATTACCGCACCTGCGGCAGCGCCAGTCGTGACCCACACTATCGCTCCCACCGCCCCTCAACCGCAGAGGATAAGAGAAAATAGGCAAAGGCTCAGGTCGGAAGAAAAGGAGAAGTGCAAGGACAAAGACGTCTCACAAGAGAAGGAACCTACTGTGGCGAGCAAGCCCAACGGTCCCATGGTACCTGTTCGTAAGTACAATCACATTTTTTTATTTTAAAGTAAGTACATATTATTATTACTATAAAATTTAAGACTGTGTAGGTAGACTGACGTCACTCGAGGATATGATTGAGTAGTTCCCCTATATAAAGTTATCTTAGCAATCGCTGTGTTATCGTGCTCTGTAAATAGGAAACCATAATATTATAAATATTATAGTTACTTCTATCGCTGACTTTATTTTAGGATTGCTTGTATTAAGAACCTATCTGGAGTAAATTTTACTTGCGAAAAAGTTTGCAGGAACAAATAAACTACGTCCATTTTTTACGTTGTTGCATAAAAATCTAATAGGCTGCTAGACTTTTTTTTTGTTTTTTTAAGTAAAAAACAATATACTTTTCAATAAAATCTAAGTACATATAACGAATACAATCAATAAACTAATTAATGCTACTATTGACTGTGTCACACAACAAATAAAATTAAAACAGACGTAACAGTTGAAGTTTATGCCATTCTTTGAAGACCTTCAGTTCGTAACCATTTCAACAAACAGACAGCACTGTTCCGATCTTAATTTTTTATAGTGCTGTGAGCACGAAAATGGACACATTTTCTGAAAAATCTTCTTATAAGTCGCTAGATTGATTTGGCCTTTTCTTTGATTTCTGACGCGCTTAATTTTGTAAGATTAGGGTATCGATTGGGGCCGCCCCTAAATCTGGCCGCCCTAGGCGCGGGCCTACCGGGCCTTAGGGTAAATCCGCCACTGAGTATACGGTCACCAATATTGTTATGTAAGCCTGTCAGACTGTTTGCTATTAAGATATATTATCATATTCACGTCGTCATATATTTTGTATTTACTATGAGCTTAATCATGAACCACAGAAGAAGGAGTATTTCCATCAACCAATAGCATTAAACAATTTTATTTGTGAAAAATAACAAAATCTACATTGAACAAAAAAGGGAGAAGGAACGTGTCCTTTTCGATGTTTTTTTTCTGTTAGGTGGTACGGAATCCGTGTATGTGTGTGTGTGTGTGTGTGTGTGTGTATGTGTGTGTAGCATGTGTGTGTGTGTGTGTTGGTGATTTGAGTTGGTTGATGAAAAACGGACCCCAGATAGGATCACTTTGTTTTTCGTCTGTCTGTCAATATCACGGAAACGTGTGGAGTTATCGAGTTAAAAAAATTACCATATACTCAGGTCTACGATCTTTTAAAGCTGTGAAAAAAAAACAAACTTAAAAAAGGCCGTTTATGTTGCGTACCTAAAAATTTGTACGGAATCCTCGGTGAGCGATTCCAAATCGATCTTGTCCTCGTATTTTTACTCCTAGGGAATCCTATACTTTGTTTAACTTACTCATATAAACAATTTAATTTAATACAGTATGAATAATCTGGTTCCGTTTCTTTTATTAAGCGGAGCACGGAGCGGGCGTCCGCTCTGCGTGCAGTTTTTATGTCACAGCGCAGCGCGGGAAACCTGCCTCACGTAGCGCTGCTCTATGAAATAACATGAAACATACACACCGAGCGGACGCCCGCTCTGTGCTCTCGCTTAACGCAGCGCACTCTCTAAATAAAAGAAATATCTTAGCAACTAAGCTCGAGTAGTAGGTAGTCGTTTTAGGGCCTGTTTCACAATCTCTGAGTAAAGTTCTAAGTAAGCTACTTCGAACTTATCTGCTCAGTAAACAATTCTTTACGTTTCACAATCTCTGAGTAGGGTTAATCACCACTATCTGCTCAGTAAATTAATCATCGGATGCACTGCCAAGTAGCCGTTTACTTGCCAAGTAAATGTAAGAGAACATAACCGCAAATACGACATTTCCAGATTTTCATCAAAAAACATATTATATTATATTTTTGATATTTTATTGATATTTTTGATCTTATTGAAGATGAATTTGACGATTTTCAAAGCTTTTGCACTACGAAATCGAACACTGCTTATACTGTTAAATTTAGTTTCTATTCTTTGCCAACATTTTTCTTTTTCCGCCAAGTAATGGCATAATTTTTTTTATTTTCCAACACGTGTTTATTTTCATTAAAGAGCTGAATTAACGTCTCACATTCTTCTCGCGTAAAATTACTACCTCTTTCCCGTTTTGTAGTCATTTTTTAATAACATAATGTTCGTAAAAATAAATTCAATTTAAACAAAAGATTAGATTTATTCAATGATATTCAAATAAAACCAGCGCCGGCGAATTAATGACAGACATTTTAGTGACACCTCATTGCGGTCCATTCTTACAGAAACATTGACTGTAGAAAAGGTAAAATCTCTCTTTTATATTACAATAACTATTTTTTTAATATAAATTTATCTTTATTATACTTGATAATCATAACGAAAAATATTATTATGTGATTACTATATTTTATAGAAACACATTAATTACTCGAACTTGAAATGAAACGTTAAACTCTAAAGTTGCTAGCACACTCATTTGCAAGTATTAATTAGTTAATCTTCACTTTAATTTACTCATTGGATGATTGTGAAACGCAAAGAAAGCTAACGAAAGGATTTAACTTTTAAGTAATTTACTCGTTGAAAAACTACTTATACCTTTACTTATTGATTGTGAAATAATCCCTTAACGCCGTAAAATATAGCCTTTGTTACTCAGAGATAATTTACCATTCAAACGGTGAAAGAATTTTTGAGTTTATTCGTTAAAAACATACAAATCTTTTCATTGCATAAAACATCATTTAGTATCGTGTGAGTACCACACTGATTATTTGTGATAAGCAAATAAATGTCAAGCGCGATCTAACCTGATATCATTTATATTCCGGCCCTTAATTTAACATGTAACAACATTGTTATTTGGTATACTAGCTCCTACCCGCGACTTTATCCGCGTTATGATTAGTTTTTGTGGACCTAACATTTATCGGGATAAAAAGTAATCTAGGTAATAAATTACGTATTTGCCAAATATTATCAGCCAAATCCGTTCAGCCGTTTTAACGTGAAAGAGTAACAAACATAAATACAAACTTTCGCGTTTATTATATAATTTAATTTTTTTTTGCAGTGTAAATGTACTTCAAAATTTCTAAAGCACAACAGATATGCAGCTCATAACTTATCAAAATATTGGTAGTCCCTTCTTTAACTATCGGTAATAGCTCTGTTCTTTAATTTTCTACCGTTCTGGATTCATTTGAAATACAAAAGAGATCATTTATGAATTGTTAACAATGTTGCTACAGATTTAACAACAGTCACTTTTCCCCCACCAGATTCCCCCCTCTGGCGGAGCTAGCGTTATTCCGAATCATATTTACGATGGTTATTTACGAGCTTACATCTGCAGTCAGAACAAGTGTTTGATTTGTTCTCTCTCATATTTATTTTTTAAACAGTGGTGTGTGACTGTCTGCGAACATAGACAGATGTGACAAATATTTAATATAACTTTTGTAAGTACCATAATGTTATTATATGATATTATTCAATATGTTAGTTCATAACGTTTTCGTTGATTGTTGTTAGATTATTAGTTTTTTACATTATTGAGACAAAAAATGCTTCTTTGACTTAAATTTATAAATAAAATTGATATGACTACAATAAATGGTCAGTACATAAGATATTGTAATTTTTGAGTGGTATTGTGCCAAAATCCAAATGCTCAAAAATACCATGCGTTATAGTCGCATGGTATTTTTCAGCATTTGGATTTTTGTACTAACTAGGTACTGTACTACAAGTGAGTGTAATTTGGTCTACTAACTATTCTTGGGGCGCAGTTATTTTATTTGGAAAACATAATTCATTTTTTGCCAGTGTTTCAATTTTCAAATTCAATTCAAAGTATACGACTCGATCGATCGTACTGTATGTTATAAACAAACTCAACTATTACTGCGTTAAGCCCAAAACATATTGAGGCATCGATTTCATACATTTATTATGGGTAGAGGGATAAGAGAGTCGACACGACACGTTAATATGTTTCTGGCTTTAGTATAAGAATAAATATATGCCATCAGCTCAGGATCGATGGTGTTAAGAAAGAGTTTGCGTGGTAAGCTGCAGAAAGACATAGCTAATATATAAGGGTTTTTTGTTGACTCCGAACCCTAGTCAGATTTAGGTCGATTCCTCTGACAATAGAAAACGTAATTGCTCTAATTTTAATACCAACTCTGACCATATGCCTTAGTTATGTGACCTAGCCAGCGCAACAGCGCTAGTTTTATTTGTTTTACTGCTCTTATACCATGAGGAGTGACAGGGAGTTCAACGTAACCTTTTGAAGTCGAAATGAACACGTACTGCGTGTAGTATTCAGTACCCAAGCACGAACAACTAGCGAGAACGTATTCGTATCAAAGTTTCTATCGAGGAAGCTAGTTAGTTTTACGTCCGGTAGGGGCGCTGCTTAGTTTCTATATAGATTTAGGACACATTTTTTAGATTCCTTTCTCGTCAGTATAAATTTTGGTCAAATTCAGCTTTCGCCAGAATAAATTATAGGCTGTTCTATTTCTGACAAAAAGCGAAAATCTTAGATTTGGGATTTATTTTTATGGTCAAGGGTAAACAAATCAATCTCAGAAGATCCATTATCCAGATCCAGGATGGAAACAGTGAGTAGTTTTTATTCAAAAAAATAAATTTACTCGGAACCTTATTTTTAGAAAAAAAAAGTAATAAAACAATATAATCATTATTGAAAATCAAATGAAAATCACACATTTTTCTAAATTAATATGGAATTATCTTCTTTTAAATTTAAACTTTTTAATGATACAAAAACCAAGGTTTATTACATATTCATACATACTATAATACGAAAATACATTATATCCCCTATTACATAAAAAACTTATTACATAAAAAACTTTTTGCCCAACCTATTACATAAAAAACTCCTGAGAACAAAGTTACAATAAAAGTTGTTCGGCTTTAATATTCAGCTCTGAAGTCGAATATTTAGAAAAATATTGTATTTACCAAGTGCAAAAAAAATACTGTTGATCCTTAA